ACCTCCCCACCCAAAACTGGATATAGAACTTACAACTTTTCACTCATATGTGTGCATGTGTGCAGATGTGCACACACTCAGACACACACATCCCTACATCCGCACTCAAAGGAACATTTGAAATAGATCATATACCTAAAAACAAAATGCAAAACTATAAACCTTCTAGAAGACACAAGAAATGATTTAGGTGATCTTGGATTTGGTGATGACAACACAACAAATATCACAGCAGAATTGTAGTGGACACCCCTGCCTAGTGTTAACAGGCCACAGGAGAACAAGCTTCTTGCCCCTCCATAATTCAGCTGTTACATTGGAAGTAGCAGAGCTTGGCTGGGCTCACTCCCAGTCAAGGGCAATTGACTCCAACTGAATTCTCCCCTTCTGAATTAATCATTTTTTCTCTTCAGCAAAGATATGCTTGTGCCCTCACTCTACAGTCCTGCCTGCTTGATACTTGCTATCAGAAGGTGTCCCAAGGCCTGCCCAGGTTCCCCCTCCCACACTTGTAATGAATGAACAGTGGATATCCTGGGAGCTGTTTGTCTTTGCTGCCCAGAGCAGCTTAGATCAGCCCAAGACTCAGTTTCTCTCAAGTCTCTGTGTACTGTTTTTAATTCCCAGTTTCCTATCTTGTGGACGTAGTACTGGCTCACAGGTAACCAGGACCACTATAGGGATCTCTGGTAATGCCCCCTTACCTATTCCCTATGCAGAATCTTGAAAGAACTAATTGATAGTTTGAAGTTTTTTAAAGATAAAAAATTTTCCTTCATGAGCAATACTTTTAAGAGAATGGAAATCACCTCAGAAAAAGAAAGAACATTTGCAAAATACACATATAATGAAGGACTTATATCAACAATATGCAAAGAATATATATAACTCACTAATAATGATATGAAAAGACCCAAAGGAAAAAATGGGTCCAAGATAGGCTGACCTTCATTTGTCATTGAGGAGTTCCAAACTAAAGCAAAAAATACTACTACATATCTATCTGAAGGGCTAAAATTAAAAAACTGACAATACCAAATGTTAATAAAAAGGTAGAACACTAGAAAGCCTCCTTTACTAATGGGAATGAAGAATGGTAGTGACTGTTTGGATAGGAATTTGGCCGTTTCTCATAAAGGTAAACGTAGCCTCATGATGTATCTGCTCCAAGATATTTACTGAATTTATTTGAAGGTACAGTTCCACAGAGAAACTTATGTGTGAATCTCTATATAAACTTTATTCATGCTTGTTGAAAATTCAAAGCAACCACAACATTCCTTAAAGGTGAGTGGAAATGGAAGCCATAACATAACCATGTAAGGGAATGAAAAGCCACAGGAAGACACAACAGTGTCTTCATTGCATATGGCTAAGTGGAAAACTCAGTCTTAAATGGCTAGCACATATGATTCCAATTGTATGACATGCCCCCAAAGGGAAACTATAGAGACAGTAAAAATGTCAATGATTCCAAGGGTTTTGGAGGGCTGAGGAAGGAATAAATACTGGTGGACACATGACAGAACGGAATTTTCAAAACCTGTAGAACTTTATGTCACAAGGAGTGAGTATTAGTATATGCAAATTTAAAATAATAAGATCAGAGGATCTTGGAAAGAAATACATATTGTGAAAAGAGAATCTAACTCATTTCAAATTATGAAACAACACTGAACAGGGCAAGGGACTAGATGCTGACATAAGAAATTTTGCAAATGTATGAAAAATATAAGATTAAACCAAAAATTACTCCCCATAGGAAGTGCCTTTGTTAATGAAGATTTTCCCTTGTGTGTACAGATTAACAATTCTAATACTGCTATATGTGGAAGTGAACAATTAAGTATAAAGATGGCAGAAGGTGGAAGTCTGGCTTCTAACTGTTGGATTGGGAACTTACAGGAAAACAAGGAAAAAAGGCTAAAATAACTTATGTGGTACTAGAGTTGGAAATATTAGTAAAACTCATGCTTATTTAATGTATAGATGTAGGTGGTTCCATGCAGAAATACTTACAGGTGTGTGTGTATACATGAGTTAGAATGCAAAGATTTTTCATTCTGTCAAATGAGAGGACCTAAAGAAATGAAATACTAGTAGCAATGAGGACACCTACCAATAAGATCTGGTTTCCTAATACTACTGTCACTGGATGGGGTCTGAGGAGGTCCCCCAAATACAAGATGGGGACTTTAAATCAACTCACCCATGAGGTAGGTTATAGGCATGCTGACTTCTGTCAGAGCAAGAGAATTGTCAAGGCATATCAGAAAAAGGCACAGAGAGGTTTACTAGGCAGAATTTAAAAACTATACACTCAGAGTAGATTGTAGAGAGAGAGGTCTGAGGTTGGGGGCGTTTATCTGGTCTCAGAGGTACAGTCAGTTGAGTGATCTAGGATGTGTATTCCTATTGTCTGTTACCCATATGGCAGGCTACACTGAAAAGCAAACTGAGACACACTGGCCCATTAGTGCTGCTACCTATTGAGTGTGGAGGTCTGTGGCAGGAAGGACACTTTCTAGGTGAAAATCACAGGCCTAGAGCACAGTGTGCAGGCTTACTGTGTCTTTAAGACCCTTAGAAAGAAATTTTTTTGAAGTAAATTTCCTGAAATGGAAAAAGGCTTGAGTAACTTTTGGGTCTTGAAGTTGCAGGGTTTTTTTTTAAAGTACAGTTTTAAAATGACAATTGTCCTCATCTCCTTTCAACCTATCACTGTATTTTCTATCCTACCTTACTGTTCTTCAAAGAAGAGAATTAGGGCTTTTTTGGAGAAATAGCTGATTCAAAGGCTGGGGAAGAATCCAGCAACAATGATTCTGATGCCTCTTATGAGAGAAAGCAAGGGAGTGAGCAAAACAACAAAACAGGATACACACACACACACACACACACACACTACACCACATCACATTAAAGGGTTATCCTAGTGGGCTAAAAGCAACAACTAAAAGTTTCTAATGCTAGAAAAATGTGAACAGAAAGTATTATTAGGTTACAATTCAGTTTATTAAATGAATATCTATGAGCCTGAAGCAATATGAATATATCATTAAATAAATTGCTAAGGCAAGGATAATCCCATGGGGAAAAGTATATGGAGGGTTGATGACATGGGTGATTAATAGAATTCCCCAAGGCAGGGGTAAGAGTAAAGGTAAGAATTTATGTAGTGCAGAGGACTCTGTCAAGGGGGACAGTGTCAAGTTTCCGGGAGACAAATTGTACTTTCAGCATGAGAGATGGGTCTTTATAGGAGTTTGAGATGGGGAAAAAGGGTCTAGGCAGCAAATGTGTTTATCTAAATAATGTCTTTTTCCAGATCATCTATCGTCACGCAGACCTTCTGGGAAGACCGGCACTGTGTCTAACACTATGTGCTTAACATTGCAATTTGAACAGACCATTTCCTCCAATTTACAGAAGGCCTCTTCGCTTCAGATAAGATCTCTACCAGTGGAGGCAAAGCATGCCTGGCACACATGCTGCAGTGGGCTGTTTATATCATTGAAAGCTCTAAAAAATTCGCCATCACTGGTGTATACATATTAAATTTTAGAGAGATCTGTGTGAAGTCTACAGAGATACAGAGATAAAAAGGGGGGACTCATTTTGGCTTTAGATTTATCATTCACATTTCTATTCAGCTTTGTTCTGAAATCTGGGGTGCTTTCCCATTTCTTATAAATGAACCATTTTATCATTAATCCTTAGGAATGTAGACTTTTGGGGTTAGAAATGAAAATAAAGTAGACACTAAAATTACGTTAAGAAATCTGGATGCAGTGGCATATACCTGGTAGTCTCAGCTCCAGGGGAGGCTGAGACAGGAGGATCACTGAGTCCAGAAGTTTGAGACCAGCCTGGCAAGCATAGAGAGGCTCTGTATCAAAAATAACAAAGCTCATATTAAGATGAAATATCTTTTGATTAAACTTCATATCTTTTCTTCTCCTTCCCTCCTTTGCCTTCTCTCTTTCTCCCCATGTACCTCCTTCCCTTACCCCATCTTGTAACTGGAGACAAACACTGCTAGTTGGTGTGTACTGTGGAGTATACTTTTAAAATCCTAGTCATTATTCATGCTCATAAATTATAATCAATACATTTCTATATGTTGAAAAATTTGCATAATGCATTTATGTAATATTTTCATGCTATGCCTGTCCTTTTGCATCTTCATTCTTTACTAAAAATCATGTTTTTTTATGTTCATTTGTGTTGATACACCAGAAGCTTTTTATTAATTTAAAAACTTGGAAGCCAAGCCTGTAGAGGTAGCATCTGCTGAGGTCATCTGACATTTAGCTGAGGTCCACTTTTCTGTTTTTTCCACCTGCTTCCTCTCCCATTTTGTTTCATTTGCTAAGGGTTTCTTGGCTCTTTTACCTTTTCTGAAGCCCGAGCACCTTTATTAAAACCAGAATGTATTGCTCTACTTTCCAACAACTACACACCTGTGAACTAACTGAATATGCTGCTGCAGATACTGGTCTAACCCTGCTGCTAATTCTGCAGTTACCCGAGAGCAGCCTGAGATTTACTTGGCAACTAATTACAAATGGTGGTTAGTATCTCAGACCTTACCCCAAATATATGGAATTACAATTTCTCTTTCCTTTCATTCTCTGGCACTTGAAGGTTGAATTTTCTCCTTTTATATCAATTATATATATGCAAATTTAAATTATATATATTCAAATTTACATGAGCTAATGTTTCTGGGTATTTATAGCAGATTAGCTCAGTGTGACATAATCCTTCAAATCAAAACTTCATTTAGTTTTTCTTTTCTGCACCCCCATGAAATATAGTGTAAATAAAGCTTTCTGAGTTAAATCATCACTGACTTTGACAAGGTCAAACTCATTTGACTTGGAAAGACTCAGGAATGAGCAAAAGATGCTGTTGTATGTTTTAGTGAAAGCATGCTCAGCTCATATACTGTGTTATAACTGAATTAGGCCAATGTGTACATTCTGGAAAGGAAAAAGATGGAGAAGATGAGAGAGTTTTGCAATGTAAGGACAAGTTTGGCATCTTTCTATGTTCCATGTTTGTCCCGTGGACACTGGCAGTATGAGATGTGAAAAATGACCTTCATTTTGAGCTCTGGCTCAGACCTTAACATAAAATGCTCTTGCGATGTGACCTTAGAGGGAGCATTTCATGTTCTTGCATCACCTAAATAAAAGCTCCTCATATTTGCATAGAAAACACAAATATTAATGAATCACCAAGGTCTGCACCATATCTGCAACTGAAGGAATGTCTGTCTTGGGGGATATTTTTCAAGTTTTCCTGCAGGGACTTTTGGTCCCTTAGTAAAATTAGGGAAGGGAAGTTAGGAAGGGAAAATTGGGAAATAAATTAAAATTAAAACTAAATTAAAACTAAAGTTAGGAAGGGAAAATTAGGGAAAATTAGGGGAGGGAAGTCTGAGAGTATTAACTAGAATTAATTTTAACCGCTGTTGTATTTTGTATTATCTAAAGTATAAAATCTGTACATAAGGGATTTCATGATTCTTTTTCTTATCCTTTGTTAATTTTTCTTGACCCTTCCTCATGTAGTTCACTAACCCCATTGCTTTTATATCTGTAGAAATGACCCTCAAGTATTTTTCTTATGATCTGATCTTTCCTCAGTTTTACTTAGCATTATGCATTTTTTTCTGTTGTATACTTTCCTTAGATTCCTACTTATTCCAAACTGAATGTATAACTTTTATAATATTTTTATTTTTTTTTCTGAGTACTCTCTGAAGGAGCATGCAGGTTAGTGTCTTGGGAAACTTTATTGTCTATTTCTATCCTCTTTGTGATAAATTTTCCTGAATCTTCCTTGGATATACCTTCTGTATATGACTATTTTTCAGAGCCACTCACAAGAGCAATAATTTACAGCAGTTTCCCTTTCCTTTTTTTGTTTTTGTTTGAGTCATTCATTAATGGTTGGAATTGCCTCCAGAAGTTCACTCTCTCTGTCTAATCTCTTATGCTAGTGCCTAACAAATTAATCTAATTCATCTCTGATATTATTTCAATTCTCTGCAAAATAATAAAAAAAACCTCGAGTGGCTCCAAATATTCTCTCATTGGGAACAGACATTGGCATTTGTAAACTTCCTACATTGGACTAATCCAAATGTGTCTCTGATCCTTGTCTATGCTGCTGGCCTGTGGTGAGAGACACAATCCTTCCTAGGGCCTATGCAAGTTCTCAGTAGAAAAATTACAGTATTTTTTTTATGAGCTCAGTAATTGTGACACAGGTTGCTTGCAGATGGCATCCAAGAGTCTAGCAGTGGCCCCCACATGTTTTACTAAGGTTTTCCTGTCCCATATTTTTACTTACAAATAGAAGCATTGACACAACACAATCCTTCACCAGTGGGACAAAGAGATTGTGTACTATCCAGTGTATGTTACAGAAAATATAAGAAAGGGATTGCCATCCATCCCTCTGTTATACACATTACAGAGCAGCTACCATATATGCCGTGTACTACTCTAAGAAGTGCAAGAAGAGCACTGAAGAAAATATACAAATCTCTGTTGTTATGGAGCTTAGATTCAAATTATGTGTACGTGTACCAAGGGAAGACACAAGAAGCCAACAAAAAATTGTATACTATCCCAGCTAGAGACAATTGTTAGGAAGAATCTATTAGGGATAGAGAACAAGGTTTCTTGCTGTCCCTATTTGGAAGCAAATCAAAATGTTTATACAATGGTATAGTTTAATGAGCCAATGTTATTATCATTAATTAGCCAGCAAATGCAGCACAAATAATTTCTTTTGACCTGATCTCTGGAGAAAATATTAGGAAACATAGGTCTTTCCATTTTTAACCAGGTTCCTAGGTTTTCAGAACTCATAAAAACCCCTTGGGTCATGTCAGAAGGTGGCTCTTTGCCATTAATACGTGCTATTTACCACCCATCACTAGAGAGGCTGTTTTGAGCAAAGCCACCACTGGAAATCATGGTCAATAACTCATGGCTGCTCACAGCCTGGGGCCTTTGGGGCTGTTTTCTGGTTCTCTCAGTCCAAAAGTTGTCTCAAGCAACAGCAATCCTGACAAAAGAAAAAATCTTTCTTCTGGACAATATACTTCTAAAACTCATCAGAGACACTTAGCTCTCTGAAAATGCAGGAGGAGAGTTAACAAGGTCCTCTCCTGAAGCCATTATGCCAAAGGGTGAGTGCTGAATTGCATCCTTTCTGCTATTCTTCTTGAAAACCTCATCCATGGGGTACAGTGAGCACCTGAAATGCCTCATCTCTTGTCTGCTGAGATCATCCCTGACCTTAGCTATGAGGGGGACTGTTGAAGCACAAGCAGAGCAGAGATGCTGCAGAACCAAGGATGGTCCTTTTTCTCCTGAAATTAATCCTTCCAGAAATTGCCTTCTATGTACTGCATGATGTTCATCTTTATATATTCTCTGTCTTCTAAAGTGGAGAAAACAAGAGTGCATGGAAGTATGAGCTCAAGCTCATCCTCCTATTCCATGACTCAACTCTCATTACAGTGGAGTTGATTGAAGAGTGGTGTGATCTCATTTTAATGTCACTATGTCCCAGGGAAGAATGGCCTCAGGCAATGGCTCTTCAGTGACTGAGTTTGTCCTGCTGGGTTTAACACAACAGCTAGAGCTCCAGCTGCCTCTCTTCTTCCTTTTCTTAGGAATCTATGTGGTCTCCATGCTGGGGAACCTGGGCTTGCTTGTTCTGATTTATCTCAATCCTCACCTGCACACTCCCATGTACTACTTTCTCTTCAACCTTTCCTTCATCGATCTCTGCTATTCCTCTGTCATAACTCCTAGGATGCTGATGGGTTTTGTAAATCAGAACATCATCTCTTATGCTGAGTGCATGGCTCAGCTCTTTTTCTTTTCTTTCTTTGTTATTAATGAATGTTATATTTTGACATCCATGGCATATGACAGGTATGTGGCCATCTGTAAACCCCTGCTGTACAAGGTCACCATGTCCCATCAGGTCTGCCTCATGATGACAGTGAGTGTGTATGCAATGGGCTTCTTGGGTGCCATGGCCCACACAGGGTGCATGCTGAGACTCATGTTCTGTGACAGCAATGTCATCAACCATTACATGTGTGACATACCTCCTCTCCTGCAGCTGTCCTGCACAAGTACCTCTATTAATGAGGTAGTGGTCTTCATTGTGGTGGGTGTCAATGTTATAGGTCCCAGTCTTATCATCTTCATTTCTTACATGTTGATCCTCTCCAATATTCTTTGTATCCATTCTACAAAAGGCAGGTCCAAAGCCTTCAAAACCTGCAGCTCTCACATCATTGCTGTTTCTCTTTTCTTTGGGGCATCAGCATTCATGTACCTTAAGCCTTCTCCTACTGAGTCTCTGGATCAAGATAAAGTATCCACCGTTTTTTATACCATTGTGGGGCCAATGATGAATCCTTTCATCTACAGTTTGAGGAACAGGGATGTCCATATAGCACTGAAAAAGACTTTGAAGAAAAGGATAAGTATGTAAATGGAAATCATTTTTGCTATGCATGTTATATTAATTAGGGCAATGATATATAAAGATATAGAGAGAATCACAAGAAGTCAAAATATGCAAATGATTTTTAAAATATAGAAAATTAAATACATATACAAATCATTTCACAAGGCAATCCAAATAAGAGGAAGATCAGTGTTTCTTCCTTTCAGTAAGAGTAGAATTTTGATTAGTCTTTCATTCTTCTGCTTATCCCTGGCTTATAAGCTTTTAAGTAGAAAACTGTTACGTGGTAATAAATCTAGAAATGATGCATTCTGAAATCTCAACTCAGATATATCTGGAATTCCTGTGCAACTGTGTTATATAGTTAATGATCTTCGTGGACTTCGATTCTGTATTTTAATTGTTTATCGGACAAACCTCTCTTGAGTGTTTTAGTGACTTTTGTTTTGGGAGAGTACTTTACTTTTCAAAAACAGGGAACATGGGGGCAGGGGAATGACCTCTCACTCTGATTTCTCTTCTTATTTTAGTCTCTAATGTGTCAAGTAAAAAGAGGTTGAAGATTTTCCTCTTATCATAGGAATATTTTCTTCTGATTATAGGCAGGCAAATTGTTTGGAGCAGTTTGGATAAGGGAATCTGAATTAGATGAACCTCTTGGACTCCAGAAAGGAATGTAGCTATAAGGATATGCTGTCTTGCTTAGGAAGCAGTTCACTACAAATGTTTAGCAACTATCAGTAGAGAAACTTTGTTTCTTCAAGTAGATTTTATAATCTTATTTCCTTAGTAGCCAGCTCTTTCCTTTAACATTGTCATTCTAATTTTGTCTCAGAGTTTTACATGACACAAATGATGTCGCTTATCTGATTGGTGAATATAGGCTGAGTTCCTGTTTTAGACATTAAAAAATTGCAGGCTGTTTTCAATGTAAAAAACATAGTGGTGAAGAAGACAGAAACTGTCTGTGCCCTCAAAGTTTTATTTGTCTGTAGTAAGATAGAGATAGGATTCTGGAGGTTAGGAGGAAGAGAGGATGAGCAAATAATAACACACACGCATCAAAAATTTATGCCAAGCCTTAACTTGAGGTGATGATGCAGAGAGTAATTGTTCTTTCTTTAGACTAGGTGAGAGGGAAAGACTTCACTCAGATGGTGGCACATGAGCTGAGATCTCACCGATAATAGAAAGTCTTCTATCTTGATGTTCTGAGGCAGAGTTAACACAAAGATTAAGAGGAAGTAATGATTTTGGAGAGTAAGAGCACAAAAGAGAGATCAGTGTTTGTGGTGTAGTGAAAGAATAATAATAATTAGATTAGTGTGGTAAATAGGAAAATAATTAGGAAACAAGTAGAAGAGTTACTGCTTTGGATGGGAAAAGAATGAAAGATATTAAAACACAATAAAAATCAATGTGACATTAACCCCAGAAATGAGTTCTTTTCTTTCCTGTCCCCTATTTTGATGCTCTATGTTCATTTCATGTGCCCATAGAAATAGGTTAAGGCTTCCATGAACAATTTGTGATTAAACCTATAGACAGTATACCTTGAATAAAACCAAAATGCCAAGTGCTACAAGAAAAATTATGTTTATTTTGATAATTTTGCATGATTGAGAAAAGATGAGCCAGAAGTTGCAGAATCTCAACTGAACCAAGTACAGAAGAATGTGAGAGTTCCTTTGATCTTGGTTTTGGAAACACGGAATGATCCACGATATTGGAACCTATATTCTGGTTTTGATTCCAGACTCTGCAAGTTTCATGTTTATGTTCTCTCCATCTTAGTTTCTGCATACCAAATATTAAAAATTCTGTGGCACAGATTAAATACAATCCTACAGGTTTTTAAAGTTTTATTTTAATTTGTTGTTCTAAAAAGTGCAACAGAGTGATTCTAAGATGCACATTTCTTTTCATGTAACTTCCTTGAATATTTTCAGTATTCATCTTATATTTACTGTCATCTCACAGTTTTTGACTTGGTTTCAGTTATTATATACATTTCATAGATGATAACTGTTCCATCTTGATCTTAGTTACTGATATAGCTGTCATTGCAATTTAGTTAGGAAAATTGGTGGCAACACATACATAGAGTTAATTAGCTTGTTACCATTTAAGATTCTTTTATGTGTATGCATATGTATATTTTTATATATATAGTCTTCAATATATATCCATATATATAAATGTAGTTCTACAGTTCTTATAACTGTGACTTCAGGAATAATATATCAGTGGTTATATATACAGAAAAATTTAGAAAAAGAGAAGTGGAAATGCATTTTAAATAACTAAGGATATTTATTGGTGGAATGATTATGGCTTTATTTATTTATGCATTTATTTATTGTAAAACAACAATAAAATATATTCTAGGTTCTAAGAAAGCAAGATATCCACAAATTGATGAAACTGGGTCATATTTCATTTCTTAGATACAAAATAATGGCTTAAAAATTGAAAACTATGTGCCTGAAGGCAGAATAAATTGCTGAATCCTTAGTTATATGGTTATTTCTAGATAATTTTAAGAAAGTACATTCACTAAGTATAAGAAAGAAATTCTAAGTATCAAATGACTGTTAGGGCAGTACATGGTCAGTAGTGATTTTTGTATACTTGGTAATAAAAAACACTGTGTCTTGTTCCACAAATGACGACATCAATGTTTCTGTCGGATTCAATGTTGCCTCCACCTTGTTTGATCAATAGTGGTTGTTATGGACTTAGTAGGGTCCCTGCAAATTCACATGTATGTGCTTAATCTCCTAATGCCTCCTACTTAACAATACTTACATATAGGGCCTTTAACATGAGGATTACATTAAAATAAAACTGTTAGAGTGGGCACTAATCCAATAGAACTGATGTTCTATAATAAGAAGAAATAGACAACTAGGACACAAGTGAACAGAGGAAGGACCTGGTACACAGCAAAAAGGTAGCCATCGATATCAAGTAAAGAAGCATCAAGAAGAAACCAAGTCTTCTCACACAGTTATCATAGGTTCCAGACTCCAGAGATGTAAGAAAATAAAATTTTCATGTTTAAGCTATTTAGTCTGTGGTATTTTGTTAAGGTAAGATCATGACAACAGGGAAATAAAAGTTTTGCCTTTACAACATAATGACAGAAATATAACAACAAATGAGCAAAAGAAACAAATAAAAAGTAATGCAAAAACTTGAATTCTAAAACTTTGGAAGAATTGGATTTTATAGAAAAACTTTTCTTTTCTTAATTAACACATAATAACTGTACATATTTATGAAGAACAGTGTGGTAACTTGACACCTATTCTCTAACTAAAAGGCAGCTTGAGGTGCAAAAACTGAATGTGAGAACAGTTTGTCTGAGCCCAAATGAGGAGGAGCTCTTGGGGAAAAAACACAAATTCTATCTGCTCAGAAGAAGTGCTCTGGAAATTGTGTTCAAGGGGTATAGTTCCTTATAGATTAAGAAAAAGAACAAGAAAGAGGTTATAGCAAACAAGTTGTTACAATTACGTTGGTCAATAAGAATAGCACAGGATATTGATTGGCCAGCAGTCACTTATTTTTTACATTTCCAGTAAAAATTATAATGAACTAGAAAAGGTGGCTTTTACTGTTTCTATACATTCTTATGATTGCAAGGTGTCCTCAAAAACCTACTACACTAGGTCATAATGACCGAGTTGACCATGGTCTTATGCCTCATGTGCTCCCAGAATAGAGTTTTGTCATCTCATTCTTGTAACATTTTAAGATGTTTCTCATTTCTGCCTTTCAATCAAAAATTTTCTCTGGAAAATGTTGATGATCAAATGATGGTGCTCAGGATTGTAGAATTGAAGGTCTCAAATCGATCGGGTGGCTCATTGCAACATACTCATATCTCATGTAGGAAGGAAAGAGAAGGCTGCAGTTATGAGGTCTCTGCCAAATCATGGCTAACAGCATGGAGTCCCATGAGTGCATGTGGCTCAGTTATATAAGTTCAGTAAATTCTGGAATCATGTTCAGTCTTTGGGCCACCAAAATTTTAGTTTTCCCCACTGTTCTGAAACCTGAGATACACAAAAGATAGAAAATTTATACAAGGCAAAACCACAACATCAACACAACCACAACTACAACCAGAGCAGACCAAAAGCAAAAACAGAATAAACAATGACAATCAGAAAACAAAAAATTTGAAATCCTGATCTCAAGAGTAACACTTCCCTGGGGAATAACCAAATGAATACAATTATATTTAAATCTAGGAGCTCAAGGTATACTTGGTAAGAGGTGTTTGACAGAAGGCAGATAGGGAGGCACTTATTTCTCTTAGGACCTGCTGAAAACATTAGGTCTAATTTGAATAAATGTCCCTCCCAAGCAATTTATAAGGGCAGGGAAAGTACTCTCTTTGTTTTCTGAAAATAGAAAGTTCTCTGACATTTTATTTTTGGGATTTGAGTGAAATAAAAAGTCACAGAAATGTGTTCTCTCTCTGTCTCTGTCTCTGCCTCTCTCCGTTCCTTCAGTGTCATGTTGATTAATTCTTGTTCTGCTTGATTTAGTTAGCAGTTTCTTAAAGACATACATTTCTTCATCTGAGTTTCAAAATCCAGAAAATGGTCCAACGGTATGATCCCCAAATTATCAGAAATTTTTATTTGTCATAGTTGTATCATCCTATCCATGAGCTTTCTTAAAGACATAACATGTTAGGATTATAGTTACTTTCATGAAGTTCCCAGAAAGGTATTAGAACAAAGCAATGTATTTATGTGCAGGTATTAAAATAGCCATGATTGTTTTCTGATGGCCATTCACAATTGACAATTAAATTTAGTTATTCCTGTTAAAATATAATAATTTTTCATTAGAGTTATATTCATGACATATCAGATATCTAAGACTCTCATATATTTTGAAAGCACACTTTTCTAACACATTTATACAAACATAAGTCAAATATTCATCTTTTGGACTTACGGGGGTCTCTGGACATCCCTAAATTAGTTCTAGATCAAAGAACTAAT